AGTATGTGATGCTTTGGGTATTTTACAGGTGTCACGGACAACAGATAAAGTATTTGTGGAGTCTTGAAGAATTATTGTTGGAAACTGACATGTTAAAGATACTTTGAACTTTTAAAAAAAACATAACCAGTAAGTTTAGAAAGAAAAGCTAAAAATATAAACACGAACACAATAATTTGTACCGTACCTGTGGAGACGATGGAGAAGCAGGAGAGCAAAAACACAACGATGGTGGCAGCAGAAGGCATCTCTAAAAAGGTCAAAACTCTAATCATGTTGAGGTTTAAGCATCGTACCGCTGAAGGTTTGACATAATGAAAGGTCACCGCACGCGTTTGAGCTCTCAGTCTAACATACACATGAACATACACATGAATGAGAGCTCTGCTTTTGCTTGAGTGCATGTTGTTTTTGTGCTGCCGCGCTGCCTCAGGGGAAAGTGACCCTCGTTTGTAGCTCATGGCTCATGGTTCCCTGACACCAACCTGAGCTAGCTGTAACTCTGTAGAGCTAAGACTTTTTGGTGATCTGCATTTTATCAAAAATGATTTGTCAGGTTCTCTGGAAGTGAGTGAGCATCATCAAAGTTTTTTTTAAATGTCTAAATGTTAATTAATTAAAATTAGGGCAATCGCTGTCCTGGATTTTAGACCCTGAATATTCTGTTTTCAGACAGGAATTACTTTTGTTGTTCAACGGTCACTATTCTGACTGTAGTTTGTTTTTTGATAGTAACAGTTCTCAGGTTTTAAATTTTCATGTTTTATTTTTGCTTTTGATCTTATGCTTCTATGTGTTTAGTCTTATGGTCATTTGTATATTCCTATTTCTGTCAGTGGTTAGAGTTATATTTCCCAAATTCCCTTCTGTTGTCAAGTTTTCTTCTTTGTCATGTGATTTTTCTCATTAGTTCCTTCCAGTTTGATCATGGTAGTTCTTTCTCTCTCATGTAGTGTGTTTAACTTTGCTCCTCTTGTCTCGTTACCCTGATTTAGTTTAGATGTGTTATTTCCAGCTGTGTCTCAGCCCCCACTGGCCCACAGTGTGTTTGTGTGTATTTAAAGCCTCTGATTGCTTTTTACTGTTGATTGTTTTCCATGTTTGTCTTCTCTGGTGTCTCCTGGTTTAAATTTATGACTTTATCAGTCTTGGACTTCTCTGCAAAGCCTGAATAGAGTTTTGTTTTTTTGTTCATGAACTCTGTCCACAGGGTCATTGTTCACACATCACATGACACGAGAGAAAAGGTTAATAATGCTTAATAACAGATTAATAACAGAATATTAGTAGTCTTTCTTTTCTTCTCCTCTCAGAAAAAAGGTGCAAGTTTCCGTCGCCACAGATGAAGTACACTTTATAACTCTGCTGAATGCTATACAGTACAGTGTATACAGTATTGCAAACTCATTATTCAAACAATCAATCACTCAATCAATCAATCAATCAATTCAAGAGGTTACTCTAAATTTTTAAAATCAGTATAAAGAAGGAGTCTTTTCACTTCCTGTTTCTCAGATGTTTTACAATAAAAGCCTTGAAGCTCAGTACGTCTCCAGTCCCCATCAGCAGTCTCTGCTTTTTTGTCGGGTCCCACTGCTAAATCCCTCACCCTGCTACACTGCAAAGCAAAACTTCAGTTTCAGTCTGACTTTGAATTCAAAATGAAGGTTTCTGTGCACAAATGCAAGAAGACACAACTGTGATTTAAACAGACGGTAAATATTTGTATGCTAATTATGTCGTAAACAAACTGCAGATCTGTGAGTTCAAATATGTTTACTCTCTAAGGCTATAGGAGTTTATCTACCTGTAGATGTTTAACAATAAGATACAAATACACAAATGGGCAATGAGGTACCACTTGTGTCGTGTGGTTTAACACCTCTCTGCAGATACTGATCACACAGGAAGAAGCAGGAAGCACACTGA